ATTAAACTAATTAATCGTTTCTTTTGTATTTTTCCATTGGTTTATTTTTAGTATGCTTCTTATCTTTGTGCATTTTTCTACAATTTACTTACTTATTTTTCCAATGTTATTTTCGTGACATGTATTAGTTTGCATGTTGGTTTATTTAGTAAATTGTCTCTGGCGTCTTTTAATTTTATAAATGCTTCTACTTTCGGTAATTTTTTTAATATGTTACCTAGTTTTAATTTTCCGTATATGGTTTAAATGAAAGAAAGTAAGCAGTATTAGTAAAAAAAAAAAAGACTGTATAAACTGAAACAAAAAAGGAAATCGTTATAAATAAGAAAGACGATGACATAAAAAGAAAGAAAATAAATGTAAATAGAAAGCAATATGAGAAAGAAAAAGAAAAAGCAGTATAAATAATAAAGACGACGACATAAAAAGAAAAGAAATATAAACAGAAAGAAAGAAAGCAATATAAGAAAGAAAGATAAAGAAAAAAAGGCAGTATAAATAATAAAGACGACGACATAAAAAGAAAAGAAGTATAAACAGAAAGAAAGCAATATAAGAAAGAAAGATAAAGAAAAAAAAGCAGTATAAATAATAAAGACGACGACATAAAAAGAAAAGAAGTATAAACAGAAAGAAAGCAATATAAGAAAGAAAGATAAAGAAAAAAAAGCAGTATAAATAATAAAGACGACGACATAAAAAGAAAAGAAGTATAAACAGAAAGAAAGCAATATAAGAAAGAAAGATAAAGAAAAAAAGCAGTATAAATAAGAAAGACTATGACACAAAAAGAAAAGAAATATAAACAGAAAGAAAGACAGCAATATAAGAAAGAAAGATAAAGAAAAAAGCAGTATAAATAAGAAAGACTATGACATAAAAAGAAAAGAAGTATAAACAGAAAGAAAGACAGCAATATAAGAAAGAAAAAAAACAGTATAAATAAGAAAGAAGACAATATAAGGAGAAAGAATAATTAAATAAATAAAAATACAAACTGTGCTTATAAATGTAAAAAAAGTACTTTTAAGGCGTCTCTTCTTTTTTCTTTTTTTCATAAGAATAAAATCCTTGACTTCTAGAGAGATCGAATGTGTAATATTTATGTTCCGGGACGGCAGTGACATCTTGAATGCTTTGACAATTAACATACCAAATTCTGAACTTCATCTTAATACTGACTAATGGCGCTGGAATGTTGAACGTAACAGATTCAGCCACCATACACGAATGAAGAGAAAAGGTAATAGACTGAATACGGAAACATGCGTCCACGTGATATATCTTCGCTAGTGTATGAAATGATTGACTCAAACCCTCTCACATTCAAATGAGTCTTTTTCAGACGATGCTGGGAAAGTAATTTCGACAAAAGATGTCAATCACGAGAAAGTGTCGTTATCGAAAATTCCCCAAGAGGAAAATAACGTAGATGTAGTGTCAGTTTAGTAGAATTATAAACTATTATGATTTCTCCAAGAGTAAGTGTACGAATAAAGAAGAAAGGGAAAGAAAATAATAGATGTGGAATCGAGAAAGAAAGGGAAAAGGAAAGAAAGAATGATAGATAATGAGTTACGAAAGAGCCAGAAGGAGATAAATAAATGCTGTGCGAAGAAAAAGAAGAAAAAAAGACAATTGAAGAAAGAAAAAGTAATTGAAGAAAGAAAGAAAGAAAGAAAAGAAAGAGTGTAAAAAATGCTGAGTCAAGTAAGAAAGAAAAAGATTGTCGTAAATGCCGAGCGAAGAAAGAAAGAATGAAGGACAGAAAAGAATGAGTATAATAAATCCTGGGCGACGAAAAATATACAAGAAAGAGTTTAATAAATGCTGATTGAAGAAATACAAGAAGTAAGAGGTGAGCGAAGAAAGAAAAAAAGAAAGTGTTTAATAAATGTTGAACAAGGAAAGAAAGAAAAGAGAGAGTTTAATAAATTCTGATCCAAGAAAAGAAAGATTGTCGTAAATGATGAACGAAGAAAGAAAAAAGAAAAAAAGAGTGTGATAAATGCTAGGTGAAGGAAGAAAGAAAATAAAAGAATGAAACATTAATAAATGTTGAAAAGAAGGAAAGAAAGAAAAAGAATTTAATAAATTCTGAACAGAAAGAAAAGAAGAAAGAGCAATAAAATGAGCCAAGAAAGAATGGAAAGAAAAGGTAATAAATGCTAGAAAAAGAGAAAAGGAAAAAAATGCTGAGGTGAAAAGCAAGAAGAATGAAAATGAGCGAAGAAAATGAAAACATGTGTTGATCGAAGAAAGAAAGAAAAAGAAAGTAAAAAAAGAAAAATAAAGAAAGAAAGAAAGAAGAAAGGGTAATAAATTCTGGGAGTGAAAAAGAAAGAAGAAAAGAAAGAAAACAATAGAGAAAGAAAGAAAATAAAAAGGAGCCAAGAAAGAATGGAAAGAAAGAGTGTAATAAATGCTAGACTAAGAAAGAGAGAAAAAGGAAAAAAAAAAGAAAAAAAATAATGAGTAATAAATCCTAGTTGAAAAAAAGAAAAGAAAGGGAGAATAAATGCTGACGAAGAAAGAAAGAAAAAAAAAGAGAGAAAGAAAGAGAAAGAAAGAAAATAAAGAGTGTAATAAATGCTAGGAAAAAAAAAGAAGAGAAGAAAGAAAGAAAGAAAGAAAAGAAAGAAAGAAAAGAAAGAAAAGAAAGAAAAAGAAAGAAAGAAAATAAAGAGTGTAATAAATGCTAGGCGAAAAAAGAAAGAAGAGAAAGGGAGTAATAAATGCTGAGGAAGAAAGAGAAAGAAAAGAAAGAAAGAAAGAAAAGAAAGAAAGAAAATAAAGAGTGTAATAAAAGGCGAAAAAGAAAGAAGAGAAGGGAGTAATAAATGCTGAAGAAAAGAAAGAAAGTGAAAGAAAGAAAGAAAGAAAAAGAAAGAAAGAAAAGAAAAGAGTGTAATAAATGCTAAAGAAAAAGAAAGAAAGAAAGGAAATAAATGCTGAGTGAAGAAAGAAAGAAAGAAAGAAAAAGAGAAAAGAAAAAGAAAGAAAGAAAAAGAGTGTAATAAATCCTAGGCGAAAAAAAAAGAAAGAAAGTGAATAAAAGTGAAGAAAGAAAGAAAGAAAGAAAAAATAAAAAGTGTAATAAATGCTGAGAAAAAAAGAAAGAAAAAAAGGGTAATAAAATGCTGAAAAAAAGAAAGAAAAAAAGAAAGAAATGCTGAAAAAAGAAAGAAAAGAAAGAAAGTAAAAAGAAAGAAAAAATAAAAGAGTAATAAATGCTAGGCGAAAAAAAAAAAAAAAAAAGTGAAGCGAAAAGAAAGAAGAGTAGGAATAAATGCTGAGTGAAGAAAGAAAAAAGAAAGAAAGAAAAAAAAGGTGTAATAAAAAAGGCGAAGCAAGAAAAAAAAAAGAGTGTAATAAATCTTAGGCGAAAAAAAAAAGAAGAGAAAGGGGTAATAAATGCTGAGGAAGAAAGAAAGAAAGAAAGAAAGAAAAAAAAAATAAAAAGAAATAAAGAGAGAAAGAAAGAAAAAAAAAAGAGTAATAAATCCCTAGGTAAAAAAGAAAGAAGAGAAAGGGAGTAATAAATGCTGAGGAAGAAAGAAGAAAGAAAGAAAAAAGAAAATAAAAAGAAAGAAAAAAGAAAGAGCGAAGAAAGAAAGAAAATAAAGAGTGTAATAAATCCTAGGCGAAAAAAGAAAGAAGAGAAAGGGAGTAATAAATGCTGAGTGAAGAAAGAAAGAAAGAAAGAAAAGAAAGAAAGAGAGAAAGAAAGAAAATAAAGAGTGTAATAAATGCTAGGCGAAAAAAGAAAGAAGAGAAAGGGGGTAATAAATGCTGAGTGAAGAAAGAAAGAAAGAAAGAAAGAAAGAAAGAAAGAAAAGAAAAGAAAAAAAAAGAGTGTAATAAAAGAAAAAAAGAAAAAAGAGGGGGTAATAAAGGAATAGAAGAAAGAAAGAAAGAAAGAAAGAAAGAAAATAAAAGTGTAATAAATGCTAAGGAAGAAAAAAAAAGAGTGTAAGAAATCCTAGCGAAAAAAAAGAAAGAAGAGAAGGAGTAATAAATGCTGAAGAAAGAAAAGAAAGAAAGAAAGAAAGAAATAAAAAAATAAATACTAGGCGAAGCAAGAAAGAAAAAAAAGTGTAATAAAAGCGAAAAAAAGAAAGAAGAGAAAGGGAGTAATAAATGCTGAGTGAAGAAAGAAAGAAAGAAAGAAAGAAAATAAAGAGTGTAATAAATGCTAGGCGAAGCAAGAAAGAAAAGAAAGAGTGTAATAAATCCTAGGCGAAAAAAGAAAGAAGAGAAAGGGAGTAATAAATGCTGAGGAAGAAAAGAAAGAAAAAAAGAAAGAAAGAAAGAAAAATAAAAAAGCTAGAGAAAGGGAAAGAAAAGAGCAAAAGAAAAAAAAGAGAGTAATAAATGCTATGTAAAAAGAAAGAAGAGAAAGGGAGTAATAAATGCTGAGTGAAGAAAGAAAGAAAGAAAGAAAGAAAATAAAGAGTGTAATAAATGCTAGGCGAAGCAAGAAAGAAAATAAAGAGAGTAATAAAAGGCGAAAAGAAGAGAAAGGGAGTAATAAATGCTGAGGAAGAAGAAAAGAAAGAAAGAAAGAAAATAAAGAAAGAAAGTGAGAAAAGAAAGAAAAAAAGAGAGTAATAAATCCTGAGCGAAAAAAAAGAAAGAAGAGAAAGGGAGTAATAAATGCTGAGTGAAGAAAGAAAGAAAGAAAGAAAGAAAATAAAGAGTGTAATAAATGCTAGGCGAAGCAAGAAAGAAAAGAAAGAGTGTAATAAATCCTAGGCGAAAAAAGAAAGAAGAGAAAGGGAGTAATAAATGCTGAGTGAAGAAAGAAAGAAAGAAAGAAAGAAAAAGAAAGAAAGTGAGAAAGAAAGAAAATAAAGAGAGTAATAAATCCTAGGCGAAAAAAGAAAGAAGAGAAAGGGAGTAATAAATGCTGAGTGAAGAAAGAAAGAAAGAAAGAAAGAAAATAAAGAGTGTAATAAATGCTAGGCGAAGCAAGAAAGAAAAAAAGAGTGTAATAAATCCTAGGCGAAAAAAGAAAGAAGAGAAAGGGAGTAATAAATGCTGAGTGAAGAAAGAAAGAAAGAAAGAAAGAAAAGAAAGAAAGAAAGAAAGAGAGAAAGAAAGAAAATAAAGAGTGTAATAAATCCTAGGCGAAAAAAGAAGAGAAAGGGAGTAATAATGCTGAGGAAGAAAGAAAGAAAGAAAGAAAGAAAATAAAGAGTGTAATAAATGCTAGAAGGAAGCAAGAAAGAAAAGAAAGAGTGTAATAAACCCAGGCGAAAAAGAAAGAAGAGAAAGGGAGTAATAAATGCTGAGTGAAGAAAGAAAAAAGAAAGAAAGAAAGAAAATAAAGAGTGTAATAAATGAAAGCAAGAAAGAAAAAAAAGGTAAAAAAAAGAAAGAGTAATAAATGGAAGAAAAGAAAGAAAAAAGAAAGAAAATAAAGAGTAATAAATGCTAGGCGAAACAAGAAAGAAAAGAAAAGTGTAATAAATGCAGGCGAAAAAAGAAAGAAGAGAAAGGGAGTAATAAATGCTGAGTGAAGAAGAAAAGAAAGAAAGAAAAGAAAAATAAAGAGTGTAATAAATGCTAGGCGAAAAAAGCAAGAAAGAAAAAAAAAGAGTAATAAATCCTAGGCGAAAAAAGAAAAGAAGAGAAAGGAGTAATAAATGCTGAGGAAGAAAGAAAGAAAGAAAGAAAGAAAGAAAAAGAAAGAAAGAAAGAAAGAAAAGAAAAAAAAAAATAAAGAGTGTAAAAAATGCTAAAAAAAAAAAAGAAAGAAGAGAAAGGAGTAATAAATGCTGAGTGAAGAAAGAAAGAAAGAAAGAAAGAAAATAAAGAGGAAAATAAATGCGAGGCGAATAAATGAAAGAAAGAAAAAAAGAGAGTAATAAACCTAGGCGAAAAAAAAAAAGAGAAAGGGAGTAATAAATGCTGAGTGAAGAAAGAAAAAGAAAGAAAGAAAAGAAAGAAAGAAAGAAAGAAAAGAAAGAAAGAGAGAAAGAAAAAAAAAAAAAGAAAGAAAGTAATAAATGCTGAGTGAAGAAAAAAGAAAGAAGAAAGAAAGGGGAGAAAGAAAATGCTAAATGCTGAGGAAAAGAAAAAGGGAAAGAAAGAAAGAAAGAAAAAAGAAAGAAAGAAAAAAAGAGAGAAAGAAAGAAAGAAAAGAAAGAGTGTAATAAATCCTAGGCGAAAAAAGAAAGAAGAGAAAGGGAGTAATAAATGCTGAGTGAAGAAAGAAAAGAAAGAAAGAAAGAAAATAAAAGTAATAAAAAGAAAAGAAAGAAAAAAAGAGTGTAATAAATGCTAGAAAAAAAAAGAAAGAAGAGAAAGGGAGTAATAAATGCTGAGGAAGAAAGAAAGAAAGAAAGAAAAAATAAAGAGAAATAAAGAAAGAAAAGAAAAAAAAAGAGTGTAATAAATCCTAGGCGAAAAAGAAAGAAGAGAAAGGGGTAATAAATGCTGATGAAGAAAGAAAAAAGAAAGAAAGAAAGAAAGAAAGAAAGAAAGAAAAAGAAAATAAAAAAGAAAGAAAGGCGAAGAAAGAAAAAAAAAGGGTGTAATAAATGCTAGTGAAGAAAGCGAAAAAAGAAAGAAGAGAAAGAGTGTAATAAATGCTAGAAAAAAAAAAAAGAAAAAAAAGAAAGAAGAGAAAGGGGTAATAAATGCTGAGAAGAAGAAAGAAAGAAAAAGAAAGAAAGAAAAGAAAGAAAAGAAAGAGTAATAAAAGGCGAAAAAAGAAAGAAGAGAAAAGAAAAATTGAGTGAAGAAAGAAAGAAAGAAAGAAAAAAAAAAGAGTGTAATAAATGCTAGGCGAAGCAAGAAAGAAAGTAAAAAGGCGAAAAAAGAAAGAAGAGAAAAGTAAAAATGCTGAGTGAAAAAAGAAAAGAAAGAAAGAAAATAAAGGGAGTAATAAATGCTAGGCGAAGCAAGAAAGAAAAAAAAGAGAAATAAAAGAAAAAGAAAGAAAGAAAAGAAATGCTGAGTGAAGAAAAAGAAAAGAAAGAAAGAAAGAAAGAAAATAAAGAGAGTAATAAATGCTAGGCGAAAAAAAAAAAGAAAGAAAAAAGAAAGAAAGGGAGTAATAAATGCTGAGTGAAGAAAGAAAGAAAGAAAGAAAGAAAAAAAAGAGGTAATAAATGCTAGGCGAAGCAAGAAAGAAAAAAAAAGTGTAATAAAAGGCGAAAAAAAGAAAGAAGAGAAAAGGAGTAATAAAGTGAAGAAAGAAAGAAAAGAAAAAAAAGAAAATAAAGAGTGTAATAAATGCTAGGCGAAAGAAAAAAGAAAGAGTGTAATAAATCCTAGGCGAAAAAAGGGAGAAGGGAGTAATAAATGCTGAGTGAAGAAAGAAAGAAAGAAAAGAAAGAAAAGAAAATAAAGAGTGTAATAAATGCTAGGCGAAGCAAGAAAGAAAAAAAGAGAGTAATAAATCCTAGGCGAAAAAAGAAAAGAAGAGAAAGGGAGTAATAAATGCTGAGTGAAAGAAAGAAAGAAAGAAAGAAAGAAAAGAAAGAAAAGATAAAGAGAAAGAAAAGAAAAAAAAAGAGTGTAATAAAACCTAGGCGAAAAAAGAAAGAAGAGAAAGGAGTAATAAATGCTGAGTGAAGAAAGAAAGAAAGAAAGAAAGAAAATAAAAGAAAGAAAAGAAAGAAAAGAAAGAGTAATAAATGCTAGGCGAAAAAAGAAAAGAAGAGAAAGGAGTAATAAATGCTGAGTGAAGAAAGAAAGAAAGAAAGAAAATAAAAGAAAGAAAGAAAGAAATAAAGAGTGTAATAAATGCTAAAAGAAGTGAAGAAAGAAAGAAAGAAAGAAAGAAAGAAAATAAAGAGTGTAATAAATGCTAAGCGTAAAAAAGAAAAAAAAGAAAGAAAGGGAGTAATAAATGCTGAGTGAAGAAAGAAAGAAAGAAAGAAAGAAAGAAAGAGAAAGAAAGAAAATAAAGAGTGTAATAAATCCTAGGCGAAAAAAGAAAGAAGAGAAAGGGAGTAATAAATGCTGAGTGAAGAAAGAAAGAAAGAAAGAAAGAAAGAAAGAAAGAAAGAAAGAAAGAAAGAAAGAAAAGAAAGAGAGAAAGAAAGAAAGAAAGAAAATAAAGAGGTAATAAATCCTAGGCGAAAAAAAAGAAAGAAGAGAAAGGGAGTAATAAAATGAGGAGTGAAGAAAGAAAGAAAGAAAGAAAGAAAACAAAAGAAAGAAAGAAAGAAGCAAGAAAAAAAAAAAAAGAAAAAAGAAAGAAAGAAAAAAAAAGAAAGAAGAGAAAGAGTGTAAAATGTGGAGTGAAGAAAGAAAGAAAGAAAGAAAAGAAAGGTAATAAATGCTGAAGGAAAAAGAAAGAAAGAAAGAAAGAAAGAAAGAGTAAGAAAGAAAGAAAGAAAGATTGAAAGAAAGTGAAGAAAAGAAAAGAAAAAAAGAAAGAAAGAAAAAAAGAGTGTAAAAATCCTAGGCGAAAAAAGAAAGAAGAGAAAGTAATAAATGCTGAGTGAAGAAAGAAAGAAAGAAAGAAAGAAAGAAAAAAGTGTAATAAATGCTATAAAGAAAAAGAAAAGAAAAAAAAAAAGGGTAATAAATAAAGCGAAAAAAAGAAAGAAAGAAAGGGGAGTAATAAATGCTGAGGAAGAAAGAAAGAAAGAAAAAGAAAGAAAGAAAGAGAAAGAAAGAAAATAAAGAGAGTAATAAATGCTAGGTTACAAGAAAAAAGTAAAAAAAAGGTAAAAAAAAGAAAGAAGAGAAAGGGAGTAATAAATGCTGAGTGAAGAAAGAAAGAAAGAAAGAGAAAGAAAGAAAGAAGAAAGAAAATAAAGAGATAAAAAAAAAAGAAAGAAAAAAAAGAGTACAAATGCTGAGGAAGAAAAAAGAAAGAAAAAGAAAGAGTAATAAATGCTAGGGAAGCAAGAAAGAAAAGAAAATAAAGAGGCGAAAAGAAAAGAAAGAAAGGGTAATAAATGCTGAGAAAGAAAGAAAGAAAAGAAAGAAAGAAAGAAAGAAAGAAAGAAAAAATAAAGAAGAGAAAGGGAGTAATAAAGGAGGAAAAAAAAAAGAGAGAAAGAAATAAAAAAGAAAAAAAAAGAAAGAAAAAAAGAAAGCGAAAAAAGAAAGAAAAGAAAAGGGAGTAATAAATGCTGAGTGAAGAAAGAAAGAAAGAAAGAAAAAAATAAAGAAAGTAATAAATGCAAGGCGAGTGTAAAAAAAAAAGAAAAAAGAAAGAGAAAGGAGTGAAGAAAGAGTGAAAGAAAGAAAGAAAGAAAGAAAGAAAATAAAGAGTGTAATAAATGCTAGGAAGCAAGAAAGAAAAGAAAGAGTGTAATAAACCTAGGCGAAAAAAAGAAAGAAGAGAAAGGGAGTAATAAAATACTGAGTGAAGAAAGAAAGAAAAGAAAGAAAGAAAGAAAGAAAGAAAGAAAGAAAGAAAAAGAAAGAGTGTAAAAAGAAAGAAAGAAAGAAAATAAAAGTGTAATAAATGCTGAGAAGCGAAAAAAAAAAGAAAGAAAAAAGAAAAGGAGTAATAAATGCTGAGCGAAGAAAAGAAGAAAAAAAAGAAAGAAAGAAAGAAAAAGAAAGAAAGAAAAAATAAAAAAAAAGAAAAAAGAAAGAAAGAAAGAAAGAAAGAAAGAAAAGAAAATAAAGAGTGTAATAAATGCTATGGAAGCAAGAAAGAAAAGAAAAGTACAAAAATCTAGAAAAAAAAGAAAAAGAAAAGGGAGAAAGAGTGAAGAAAGAAAGAAAGAAAGAAAGAAAGAAAAAAAAGAAAGAAAGAAAAAAAGGAGAAAAAAAATGAAGAGAAAGTAATAAAGAAGAAAGAAAGAAAGAAAGAAAAGAAAGAAAGAAAGTAAAATAAAAAAAAAGGAAGAAGAAGTAATAAAGAAAGAAAAGAAAAGAAAGAAAGAAAAGAAAGCAAAAAAAAGAAAAGAAAGAAAAAAAGAGTAAAAAATGAAAGAAAGAAAAAGAAAAAAGAAAGAAAGAAAGAAAGGGAGAAAGAAAATGCTGAAGAAAAAAGAAAAAAGAAAGAAAGAAAAGAAAGAAAGAAAGAAAGAAAGAAAGAAAGAAAGAAAGAAAGAAAGAAAAAAAGAGTGTAATAAAATGCTAGGCGAAAAATGCTGAGGAAAAAGAAAGAAAGAAAAAAGAAAGAAAAATAAAGAGTGTAATAAATGCTGAAAGAAAAGAAAAAAGAAAGAATAAAAAAAAAGAAAAAGAGAAAGGGTAATAAATGCTGAGTGAAGAAAGAAATAAAAGGAAAAAGAAAGAAAGAAACCTTGTAATAAATTTAGGTGAAAAGAAAGAAGAGAAAGGAGTAGAGTTGTAAAAGAAAGAGAAGCCAAGAAAGAAAGAAAAAAAGAAAATAAAGAGTGTAATAAATGCTGAAAAAGAAGAAACAAAACTGAGGAAGAAAAAAGAAAGAAAGAATGTGTAATAAACCCAAGAAAAGAAAAGGATGAAGAAAAAAAGAAAAGAAAGAGTGTGTAAAGAAAGAAAGTTGGAAGAAAGAAAGAAAATGCAGAAAGAAAAGAAATGTGAGGAAGAAAAGAAAGAAAGAAAGAAAGAAAGAAAATAAAGAAAGAAAAAGAAAGCGAAAAAGAAGGAAAAAAGAAGAAAGAAAAGAAGAGGAAAGAAAGAAAGAAAGAAAAAAGAAAAGGTAGAGGAAGAAAGAAAGAAAAGAAAGAAAGAGAGAAAGAAAGAAAAAAAAAAGAAAGTGTTATAAATGCTAGGCGAAAAAGAAAAAAAAGAAAATAAAAAGCGGGAGAAAAGAAAGAAAGAAAGAAAGAAAGAAAAGAAAGAAAGAAAGGAAAAAAAGAAAGAAAGAAAGAAAAAAAAGAGTGTAATAAACCTAAATAAATACTGAAGAAGAAAAAAAGAAAGAAATAAAAAAAGAGCGAAAGAAAAAAAAAAGAAAAAGTGTAATAAATGCTAGGCGAAGGAAGAAAGAAAGAAGAAAAAAGAAAGAAAAAAAAGAAAGAAAAAGAAAGAAAAAAAGAAAGAAAAAGAGAGTGTAATAAATGCCAGGCGAAGAAAAACAGAAAGAAAAGGTATTAAAGAATGAAGAAAGAAAAAGAAAGAAAGAAAGAAAAGAAAGAAAGAAAGAAAAAAAAGGTAATAAAAGAACAAGAATATAATAAATACTAGGCGAAAAAGAAAGAAAGAAAAGGAAGAAATAAAAAGAAAAGAAAAGAAATAAATGCTAGGCGAAAAAAGAATGAGCCAAGAAAAAAGAAAGAAAGAGTAGTAAAATGCTGAGCGAAGAAAGAAATAAAAAAGAAAGAATGAAAGGGTGGATGAAGAAAGAAATAAAAGAAAGTAATAAATATGTGTAATAAATGAAGTAAAGAAAGGCAAAAGAAAGAAAAGAGAAGAAAAGAAAAAAGAAATGAAAAAGAAAGAAAGATGTGATAGGAAAAAACTGTTAAATGCTGAGCGATGAAAGAAAGAAAGAAAAGATTATAAGAAATGATAGGCGCAGAGAGAAAGAAAAAGAGTGTTATAAATGCTCAGCGAAGAAAGACGGAAAAGAACAAGCGTAATAAATGCTAGGCGAAGAAAGACGGAAAAAGAATGAGAAAACAAAGAAAAGAAAAAAAGAAATTTCAGCGAAGAAAAGAAAAGAACAAACTAGGCGAAAACAAATAAAAAGACAAAGACTGCTAAGCGAAAAAAGAAAGAAAAGAAAGAAATTTTTTTAAAAAAAGAAATAATAAATGCTAGGCGATGAAAGAAAGAAAACAGAATGGCATAGATGTGAGCGAAGAAAAAAAAATAAAGTTTGTAAAAAATGATTGAGGGAAAGAAATAAAGAAAAGTGTAATAAATGATGAGGGAAAGAAGAAAAGACAAAAAAAAAGAAAGAATAAGAACAAAGAAAAGACGGAACAAATTTTGAGGGAAGAAAAAATGAATAAATGATAGGGGAAGAAAACAGACAAAAAAAAGAGTGTAATAAATTTCCAGCGAAGAAAAAAAGAAAGAAAGAGTATAAAAAAAATGCTGAGCGAAGAAAAAAAAAGGAGTGTAATAAATGCTGAGCGAACAAAAAAAAGAAAAGTAAAAATGCTGAGCGATGAAAAATGCTGAGCGAAAACAAAAAACAAAAAGAAAAGAAAGAGTGTAATAAATGCTGAGCGATGAAAAAGAAAAGAAATGGAGTAATAAATCCTGAGTGAAGAAATAAAGAAAAGAAAGAGTGTAATAAATGCTGAGCGAAGAAATAAAGAAGAGAAAGAGGGTAATAAATGCCGAGCGAAGAAATAAAGAAGAGAAAGAGGGTAATAAATGCTGAGCGAAGAAATAAAGAAGAGAAAGAGGGTAATAAATGCCGAGCGAAGAAATAAAGAAGAGAAAGAGGGTAATAAATGAAGAGAGAGCGAAGAAATAAAGAAGAGAAAGAGGGTAATAAAATGCCGAGCGAAGAAATAAAGAAGAAAAAGATGGTAATAAATGCCGAGCGAAGAAAGAAAAGGCACAAAAGAAGAAATAAAGAAGAGAAAGAGGGTAATAAATGCTGAGCGAAGAAATAAAGAAGAAAGAGGGTAATAAATGCTGAAGCGAAGAAAGAAAAAAGAGAAAGAGGGTAATAAATGCTGAGCGAAGAAATAAAGAAGAGAAAGAGGGTAATAAATGCTGAGCGAAGAAACAAAGAAGAGAAAGCGGGTAATAAATGCTGAGCGAAGAAATAAAGAAGAGAAAGAGGGTAATAAATGCTGAGCGAAGAAAATAAAGAAGAGAAAGAGGTAATAAATGCTGAGCGAAGAAAATAAAAAGAGAAAGAGGGTAATAAATGCTGAGCGAAGAAATAAAAGCGAAGAGAAAGAGGGTAATAAATGCTGAGCGAAGAAATAAAAAAGAGAAAGAGGGTAATAAATGCTGAGCGAAGAAATAAAGAAGAGAAAGAGGGTAATAAATGCTGAGCGAAGAAATAAAAAAGAGAAAGAGGGTAATAAATGCTGAGCGAAGAAATAAAAAAGAGAAAGAGGGTAATAAATGCTGAGCGAAGAAATAAAGAAGAGAAAGAGGGTAATAAATGCTGAGCGAAGAAAGAAATAGATGCTTAGAGAAAATAGATAGAAAACGAAAAAAAAAATGAAAAGAGATATAAATATATACAGAGTGAAGAAAGTAAGAAAAAAAGAGAGAAAAAGAAGTTATAATAAAAAAGAAAAGAAAAGAGAGACAGTAAGAGGTGTAAATAAAAGAGAGAGAGAGAGAAGTTGATACTGAACAAAGAATGAAAAAAGTAAAGAGAGAGAGAAAGATGCTAAGCTGTCATGCCTGGACGTACCTATTCTATTATTAATAGACTCTCCCACACATAATAAGTAGTAGTAGTAGTAGCGGTCGCCGGTTCGGCTCAGTGGTGTTGAGCGAGTCAGTCGATATCGGACATTGAAGTACCAACCATCACAACTAGATTGCTGCGTCATTAACTCTTATTTTCAAGTTCCTAACGTTTTGTACGTCGAACCTAATTTAGGACGGCTTATTGAAATACATGCCTCCACTGTTTAAAACTACACTACAACATAAGCCAAGAAAGAAATGAGTGACGGTATTTCATCTTGAACCAACAAAGAACTGAAAGAAAATGAATGCCAAGCGATGAAAAAAAGAATATTAGATGCTGAGTCCAGTAAGAATAAAAAGAGAGAAAGGCATTCACAACTGAGAATGAAAAAAAAAAAGATCGAATATGCAATAGACTCTTATCTAAAAGCAAACAAAATTAATATAATACCGAGTTCAAAATTTAACGTAAAATGCATAGCGGGAGATATATGAAAAAAAAATTAGAGTGAGTGACATGTAGACGTGAGAGATACAAAATATATATATGTATATTTTTTAAAACATTACGCCCCGAGCAAGGCGTGAAGCCACTAGGATGCAGGTGGTTGCAGAAGATTTGGAGCAAGATCAGATAGGAGTGATAGAAGAAAGGATGAGGAGAAGGATAGTGGATAGATCAAGGTAACTGGAGATGTCGATTGACATTACATTCGAATAGTTGGAGATTATAGCTCTCAGGGAAACACTAATAGGGAAGGGTGTTCCACAGACGAGTGGTGCGAGGTATGAAGCTATTGGAGTAGAAGAGACGGCTACATTTAAAAGTTTCTACAGTGAAAGGGTGAGAGCGGGATGCCAGCCTCGTAGGGCGCTTGAATTCATGGAGTCTGGGAACCAGTGAAAGCAGCTCATCGGAGCAATTACCATGAAAGTATTTGTAAAAAAGACAGAGAGAGGCGAAGGCGCGTCTGTGAGAGAGGGACTGTAGACGAGATGCCAGATCAGGGCTAATTATATTACATATCCGCCTCTGGATCTTGTCAAGAATTCCGATGTAAACAGAATGTGCATCAGACCATATATGGCAGCAATACTCCAGGCAAGGGCGAATGGTTGATTTGTATATTTGAAGTATTGATTCCGGGGAGAAAAATAAAGAATGTTTGAATTGACAAACAGTCTGAAACAGCGGTGACAGACTTCGGATAAATGGTACAAGTCTATGTCTCCTAGGAAAAGAATGCCGATATTATAAAGAGAGTCAAATGAATACTTCGCAATAAATTCCTGTCTTACGAACATTTCTCTTAATAATAATTTTGAAATAGTTCAACAGACGATGTTATTTTAACTGGATTTTTGGTGATTGCCTTACTCAGTTGCCATCGGTCGATAATGTGCGTCTGAAAAATGCCACTTTCGTAGCAGTCGCCGCCGAATTTCAAGCTTTTGGCTGGGGTCAAAATGAGGTATCTACCCTCGGACGGATAAACTGTATTTGATCTATTAGTTGTGCCTCTGTCTTCGAACAGATCGCAACTGAAATATTACTGAGAGGTGAGACAGCACTTCCTTCAATGCACTAAAGACGTGGAGTTGGTAGTAAAACCGTTGCCAGTACAACCGACAGTTTTGGGGGCTGGGCTATTTTTTTTCAAGTTCCCCTGCATTAAACTGACCCTGTGACGCATAATACCAACGTGGGACGGCAAGAAAATACAATCAGTTCTCGGCCTTTTGGCTAAGGTCAAAATGTAAATATCTGTTCATAGAAACTTAATTTGATTGTCACTTTCCAATCCTATCTTCCTTCATTCTTTCTTTCTTTCATTTTGACACTGAAACCAAGTAGCGTTTTTCACCACTTTCCACGCGATAAAAACATAATACTTCATTATTTATGAAGTACTGGCAGGGCGTGATGGTCGTGCGAACTAGCGAAGGAAGAGACAAGCACAATTATAATAGTATTCTAAAAATCCATAAACGATTTATCACTGATTACAAATTTCTTTTGCGATACTGACTGCATCTTTCATCTGACCGATGGCTTTAACCAGCTGTCGAATCGCCTGAGCACAGGTGAACAAAACGAGGAATTTATTAAATTCAGCGTAGTATAACAAAAGGCTACTTTTGTGGAGCACTTAGTAGCACTTCATCTGTCCAAGGAAATTACTATTTATTGACACACGCTGTTGTTGGGTACTCAGTAAAGATCAAGTTCATTTTAATCACAATAGTCTGTAAAATTACTTTTCTCAACCAAATACAAGTACCGGCACATTTAAATTATTTCCTTCAATCTCCTCCCACCCAATACAAAACTGGATGTGTGGGCGATGTAATGGATAGCACATCGGGATGCGAAACCGGAATGCCAAGTTCAAATTCCAATTCAGTTCGTTACTTACGCGCAAATACTCTATAGAAAGGTATGAATCGATCACTCCCCCCCTCTACACATAGCCATGTGTTGTTTAATAGGACTTGTTTCTGGAAACATCATTGTTAGCACCGAAAAATTCTTAATGTAATATTCACTTGCAAAAAAAAAAAAAGAAAAGAAAAAAAGAATTATTCTTAAAAATAATAGGTTCCGGCTTGAAAATAACCCATAAAGAGTTGATAAGCCGTAAAAAATCAGTCAAGCGACAGAACCTAATTTAGCACGAAGCGTTTATTATTTTTCACGTAATGATTATTTCATTTCACGCTAATTAAAAATCTATATGAATGCACGACAGCACTTTTATTATTTTTCACATAATATTCTCGGCGGCATGGTTATTTCATTTCACGCTGATTAAAGATCTATATGAACGCACGACATCACGTTTATTTAAACCAGCACACTGAAGTGGCAACCCGTCGAGAGAAGGGAAACACTGAATTCAAAACCAGCCTGAAAAGGAAAAGGCTCCGTCAATATATCTTGCCCTCGACGTAACACTGATGCTATAACTTAAGTACATGTGATACTGCTACTGCCCCAATAGGTAACGAATATAGAGATGCTCTGTTTATTTTATAAGTTGAAGAACTCCTACTGAAATAACAATTTCAGTATTTTATATACATATTTATTTTATATTATATATTTTCGTATTTGGTACAAAAGTGTAGCTTACAAAGCGAAATTCCACAGAGAGAATTTTCAGGTAGAGAAAATATATTGGTGTTTATATTAGCTTTGACCTACTAAGTTACAAGGTCAAAAAAGAACAAGCTCCAGCAATAATGATCTGTCAAATGAAGTTATTTCCTATTAAGTTTAGATTAGTTCGACACAGCTAGAAATACGAAGAATTCAATAAGGAATTATTAGTCATAATGTTTCGGCAGCTTATTGCTCCGTCGATTTCTGTCTATGTTCGACAAAAACACACAATTAGAAAGCACTCAGTAAGGAACGAACCCAATCGAAGAATAATGATACTTGAGACTAGCGAAGTGCCCATTGCGTCTAAGCAAAAGATTCTGAAGTTCAAAAATGATTTACAATAAATTTTACTAGCGATTAGTCAACGTTAATGGCAATAATCAGGCTTGATATTGCTTCGTTTCGGTAACCAACGTACGAATATCCATGTTTCTAGCGGGATTCGACCGAAAGATAATTTTTCCCTGTTATTGCAACCTTCAAACTTTTCGTGCTGATCTCTTTGTTTATCCCCAGTGTCTCGCCCAGGATTAGGAGCCTTAACAAGCCAAATTCATAATTTTATGCTTTTGATTTTGGAGATTTAATTATTTGTACATTTTGACATGTTTAATTTATTCGATCTAGTCTATCATTTTGTTTATTATGTAGCACTATGATTCATGCACTGAACATAGAAGATGAGGATATGGTTTTATCTCGATCATACGTATTTCAGTTTTATTGCCGGCTGATAGAGACTTTGAAGACGGGTTTTTCTAAGTTGTATCCTCTTGTCCGAAAGGAAACAAAAGAATAAATAAATAATACTTTTGGGATCAAGCGACAACAAAGCTGGACATTGATGATTTCCTGTTGTTCGTTTGTATTAACTGTCATGCTTGGGATTAAGAAAGATGGTTTTGATTCGCCCTTAGTGCAGGATAGGCTGTTTCTCGTTTAGTTGCCGTGTCATCCGTTCATATTGCCAACCACATTTCGTGATATGCAAATGAGCAAAGAACAGGTAGGATGGAAGTTTTGAGATATACGACTGACATGACAGAAATTGTCCCAAGTATCAATTACCTACCCACTAAGACTGAACAAGCGAAGCCCTGAATTAAACACCTAAAGAAACGGGATTCCAGTTCAAACTTACAAATTCAATTTTTATATTGGCCTTTTAATTCATTTTTTCAGAATAAATTCTTTATTCTTTTTATTTATCTTATAAAATTCAGAAAGGACACTCATGACGATAACAAGAAAATAAAAGCTAAATAACACACACACACACACACACACACACATATATATATATATTTAAAAAAAAAACAGATCACTTTAAGGTACCATTATAATAATTTATTTCACCAGAGTCCTTTTAAAAGGACGCCGGATCATCAGATAGCACTTCCAACAACGAAATGAAAAGAAAAATGAGATTAAAATTGAATGGTAGTGTAAGTTTTTGTAATTTAACAGGTGGTGTGAGAGGGATAGTTAAAGAGACATGGTAGAGTATAGGGAGGGTTTAATTTCATATCTCTCTCAAGTGTACTTTATATTGGGGTAGGAGGAGTGACCAGACCATGACCTATTTAGATGGTTAACTGGACGGAAATGATATATAGAAATGGGACGGGAGTAGGGAGAAAAGAAAAAAGAAAAACGAAAAAGAAAGAGGAGACAGAAAACAGTAATACAGATGAGTGTTACAGCAAGGGAGAGAGAGAGAGAGGGAAGTAAATAGAAAGAGGCTGTAATTGGGTTTTTAACAATTTATGTAAAGGATAGATTTCAATATATATATATATATATATATATATATATATATATATATATATATATATATTTAAATGGGATGTTTGAAACCCCTAGTATTATTACTATGTTGTAAAATACTACCGGAGGAAGTAATAATATATCTGTAATGATTTTTCGGGGCTTTGTAAAATTTGAGAAAAGAATATCCTAAAGAAAAATTCTAGTGTTAGAATAAGTCTTTATACATTCCGGCCACTCCGGTATTTGGTCGACAAAGACGTATTTAGTTATAAAAAAATGAATAAAACCGACGGGTAATTAATAATTATATCAATAAGTTCGCGATATTTTGCTATGAGCAAACAATTTAACGCGGATTTAAATGTGTATTTCATACGAGCTTGATTGTCACCGCACTAAAATGTCGATTGTTCTAGACACATCCCGTGTAATTTCACAAACATCCTGGTTACTAGAGAATGGATTGGTTATATCAGACACCAAGCGTCGAATGTCTTTCGGATTAAATTCTTGGTTCCGGTATGATAAGAATAAATGTATGTTACTTACATTTGTATTGGTTCGTTGTTGTCTCATTTGGTTCTTATATATTGTTATATAGGGATAAAGTGTCGCATCGCTGACGGCACTTCCGTTTCAACAGAGATCGCCAGTGAGCAAACACAGGCGATCCCATTACTGTATTAAGTTGATCACGGGTCCATAGAGGAAACACATAATTAGAAAGTCGCGTGACGACTAACGATCTCTGTAGTCTATCCTCTATTACTAACGAATCACCATTTCTTCTCTATCCTCTATTACGATACGGTCCGCTATTCGCTACTCTATTCACTATACTTGTCGAGCGAGCATTATCGAGCAAGTAGTATTAGCGTGAGTGATATTCGAAGGCGTCTGATACCAGCATTGTTCGACGGCGTTAGTATAAGTTGTATCTGCGTTTACAAGGTATCTACTGCAACAAACATTACGAAGTAAAGATGAGTATTCGTTGGCATTACGAATGTTCGTTGATCTCATAAATATATATATATATATATATATATATATATATATATATATATATATTACGAATGTTCGTTGATATCATTATATATATATATATATATATATATATATATATATATATATATATATATATATATATATAAGGGAAAGACGCTAAGAACTGTGCTTGATGTAAAATATTAAGAAAATAATGTCCGATTTTCAAATCAATTTTATTCCCGAGTATTTACCAGTGTCAGAACATCCAAACATTTCTGTCATCGAATTACTAGTTTACTTATGTTTTTATGATAAAACTCTAAAGGTTTTGGACGCCAAGTAAATATAATAGTCTGTGGGTGAGAAATTAAGAGAGTAAAATTTTAAAAAATGAATAAAATTTTAATTTGATAATATTTTCTTGATGTTGGGTTGTTTTTATGCTTAAATGTTTCTAATGTTTGTAGTTGCTTTTTACTGTTTCTGTGATATGGTATTGAGTTATTGTTAAGGATTGTCGTATTATATAGGGACGGTGGGAATTAATGATTATAGGTAGTATCCTATAATTAATATAGATTTTTATAAAATTTATTAACACTGAACTTTTTTTTAGAAGCATATTCGGGATTTTCAATTTTTTTTTTTTTTTAATAACATATTGGATTTTACGGTAGGTATCTCTCTTTTCTCGCATTCTCTGTTACCACTGCGTTTCCTGCAATATAATATAAAACACAAAAACAGGCAGAAACATATCAGGAAAATCTATAAAAGCGCATGTTTAGAAAGGTCCATACTTTGGACAGTTGAATTTGAAATTAGATATATCAAGACTGACTGTAGTTATAGAATATAAGAAATTGGAAGGAATGATGAGAAAGATAAATAAAAACCTACAGAAAAGCAAAGATAAGATTAAAAAAAAATGAAAGAGAGAAAGAAAGAGCCTATATGATTTTGTCGAAGAAAACCAGAACGCTATATGTTTACCAATAAATCCCTAAATGTCGAAAAAGGCCGAAGAGAATCTGCTATCGATATCGGTCTAATGGTGGAGAGGGAAGGTTAGTTGCTGTCAAGCAGGCGCCTCAGTGTCTTTTCGGCACGCAACAAGGGCTGCTGGCTATAAACTATATAGGATTAGAGGGGAAAGAGATGAGCAAGATGAAAAGGACAGATTCGGAAATCCTGTTTTGAAAACGATGACTGTTGTATTGCGAGCAAGTGATATCAATGTAGGTAGACTAAACTGCAATGTTTTCTCATTCTTTGTTATAGATTAATCTATTTAGATCAATACCCTCATCTTGCCTGTTACGTAGTCTCAATATGTCAGCTCTTGTAAACTCCGACCTTTTTATCGAGTGACTGTCGTGTCAGGTACCCACCTGAGACTTTCAAACTGAATCCTTTATTCAATAGATACGACCAGATCTTCCCCGTTCCACTCTCTATAGGCGGAACCAACATATAAGAGAAGCTGATGAAAAATTCTCGGCCCGACAAAGCCTGCCGCGCCAAAATATGATTTTTAGTTTTTGGACAGATTATGGAAAGTGATTCTAATTGAGAACTTTTCAGTACCCTGTGTATTAGGCTTTAAACTGCAAAATTTCACCGACTCTATATAAAATTACGAGCGGAATTATTTAATTTGTATTTGTGGTTTGAATGACGTTGTTAGTGGCTAGTCCTGCAGTTTATCATATGCATTGACAATAAACTTTGGCAGTGTGAAAATTACTATAGAAATTCATTGCAAATTATTTTGATTTCAGAAACGCACTGGAAATCAAATAATTGCTATTGTCAGAGATAGACATTAATGCAAGCATTACTGACAGAGTATCAGCAGATGAATTATTATTTTTATTACATCCCAAAATCAAGCAATTTGTTTAAAATATTATGCAGAAATGCCACCCCAAATTAATATTTACGCTATTTATATGCAGACTATTTTCCTCATCTTTGCGCTTCGGCCGTTGTGCTCTATGGCTTTCAGCTGACGATCTGGGCAACCCAGGGGAATTACGAAAGGAGCTTTTTGTTTAGTTTCCCCCGTTGATTAAATAAAAGGTTCAGTAAAATACCCATGTGTGCACTTTGGTTCAGTGGAGACAGGGCGAGCAATAACTGATGAGTACTAAAAATAAGAACCAGGCTAGATACCAATAGACATGGATAGTGGAATAAAAACAGTCTACTCCCGTAGATTAAACAAAAGATTCTGCTCACCGCTTATGTGTTCACTTGGGCTCAGTTGAAAAAGAACGAGAAATAACTAACGGTACTAAAAAGAAGAACTAGACATCCATAGACATGGACAGTGAAAGAAGAACAGTCTGCTTCCTTAGATTAAATAAACGGTTCAGTTAGGTATTCCCCGCGTTTATCAGGATCGATATTCACCTGATACACATCGAAGGGCACTACGACCGAAATGGGATGACAAGAACAAAGTTAGGGACACTAGTCCGTATGTAATAGTATGAATATTGGTAAATCCTCATCCCAGAAATTAATTCTAAAATT